AGGCGGGGCCAGCGGACCGAGGCGGCCGGCAGCCCCGCCTGCTTTGCCGGCTCGGCGCGCACCGCCCTGGAAATTGAATAGGGAATGATATTGAGCGCCACACACTGAAACAGGCGGCAGCTGATTCGGCAACGTCGTCAAGGGCGAGGGCCTCGGCGAGGGCCTCGGCGAGGGCTTTGGCGGGAACGGAACGACGTGAGCCGCTTCCGCGCCGTCCCCTGCCGCTCGTCGCCTCGCGGTGGTCCCCGGGCCCGCGTTCGGCCTGACAGTGTCCACGGCCGTGGCGGCGCGGCATGAACGATCGACGCCGGAAATGGCACGGCGCGGCACGGCACGGCGTGGCGGCAACTTCGGGCGCTGTTAATGTGATAGAAGGCCACTACTTGGACCAGCAGGACGCCAGCCTCCAGCCGATCCGTGCGGCGTAGTGCGGCGTAGTAGCACGCAGCGGAGGCCTCCCGGGGGTTGCGGCTCCGGCCACTCCGCCATCCCCGCCATCCCCGCCGCCCTGATGCAGTTGACCTTGGAAGGCCATTCCGGCCCTGCTGGCGCAACGGGCCCAGCGTCATGGCCCGGCCTCGTGGCCCTCCAAACTTTGCCGCCTCCTTCTTTCCTAGTTCAATTTCGGGCCGCCATAAAAGTGATTATCACACTCTGCCGCCAAGGCCGAGGCCGAGGCGCGGCGTGCGCTGCGGGCCGGGGGCGGTTGACGCCGTGGTTGACACATAGAGAGCCTGGAATCAGAGAGGCGTCAACCCGGCGCGCGGCGAGACGCGCCCTGGTTGGATGGCACCAGACGGGCTTCTGGTAGCTTCTGGGCTTCAACCTGATTGGCCGGCGCTGTCACGTGGGGTGGCTTGCGGCCGAGGAGGTAGGGGTAAGGTGTTGCAAACCAACGCTACACTAGCACTGAGAACTGAGGAATGGTCCGAGAGTATTTTGAGGTTGGATTTTCACGCTACACTAGCACTGAGAACTGAGGAATGGTCCGAGAGTATTTTGAGGTTGGATTTTCGTTGTAGGAACACGTTGTTGTGATTGTATTTTTATTTCCCAAATCTCCCAAACGGTGGGTGGGGTGGTTAGGTTAGGTGAAGGGTGAATGCCACTTTTATAATATTTATAGTGCTAGCTGCACTCAATGCAAGTTTAATATAAATAATTCCTTTCCATGAATTCTAAAGAGTTTGTCTATCCCTAATACATCCACCCATGGGGAAATCAAAGAAGCAGGCTCTCATGATAACACCTTTATTACTTGCCTCATTTTCTGATTACATGTTCCAATGCATTGATACTTTCACAAAGTTAGAAATTCTTTCACACCACACATTAGCCTCTTCAACCAACACAGAAACATGGAATGGTAAACTAACTGTCACATTAGATGCTCCAATTAGTTGAACACACTTCCAAAGCGAACATTGGACTCGTCAACTGACACTGACACACTAAAATGATTAAAATAAATCGTATGAAAACTAACTGTTACATTAGATGCTCCAATTAGTTGAACACACTTCCAAAGCAAACATTGGACTCGTCAACTGACACTGACACACTAAAATGTTTAAAAATTTCGTATGAAAACTAACTGTTACATTAGATGCTCCAATTAGTTGAACCCCTTTCCCAAAAGCAAACATTGGACTCGTCAACTGACACTGACACACTAAAATGATTAAAATAAATCGTATGAAAACTAACTGTTACATTAGATGCTCCAATTAGTTGAACACACTTCCAAAGCAAACATTGGACTTGTCAACTGACACTGACACACTAAAATGATTAAAATAAATCGTATGAAAACTAACTGTTGCATTACATGCTCCAATTAGAAGAACACACCTCCAAACCAAACATTGGCCTCTTCAATAGCCATGGACACTGAAAGGAAATTAAATCCCTTGGAAACTTTCATTAGTTAGCCTCACTTTCCCACCAGACATCGGGTTCAAGTCCATACTCCATTTCCAGTGATTCCAGTTCACGCAGACTTAAGATTTGATCCAAAAGTTGAAGTTCTGCTTCCAACTCATCTCTGTGCGTAACTAATTGCCTCTGATCTGCCTTTAGGTTCACCTGAAAACTTCGTAGAAAATTTTGGTGGGGCAGAGTTGACTTCAGGTCCTTTGAAACTTCAGCACGGAGCCGAAAGCCACATTTATCAGTCACACAATTCCTGGTCTTCTTTTTGATTTTCTTCATCCAGGAAGTTTTAATACTGGGAACAGCAGATGACTTGAGAACTTTCTTAGAGCTGCAGTTCAGCAAGTCTCCCGATGTGGAGTGATCCTGCACACAAAGAGAGACAACATTTTCATTAAAATTCAAGAGTCATTCTTTGCATGGAATATAAATTTAATCATTTGTACCCAAATTTAAAAAGCATTTCAATTTCTTATAAATAAAGATGTTGACAGACTGTTGCTTAGCTAAAAGTGCACTATATTGAAGGTTGAGGTTAGAAGGCACCAAGGTTACCTCGCATATTTGATCCAGACGGCGCGGACTGCACTTTACTCGACCGATCGCCTTGGTTCGTACTTGTTTCAGCTTACAATCCTCAGGAGACACCAGGTTGGGTCCAGTTTTGAAAGGATTGTGGTGACTGGGCACCAAACACTTCGACGCAGTCATCTCAAACAGCGTTTTAACGGACTTTAAATGACTTGAATCAAAGCAGTTCACAGCACTGTAAACAATGTAACTCCAAAAAAGACGTTTTTTTACGGTTTTCTCTCAAATCTTGCAGTTGATCTTAGAACACGAAGAAATTATAAGTTGTGCTTTCATTGTTTACGTTTCTTGCGCGTTACGCATCGTCCTCTCTCCCACCATGCGTCTGAGGCTAGGTGCGGTAGCGTCGGACACGCAACCGTCCCCTCCACCTCTCTGGGTGCCACTCTGACCGGCCAATCAGCGCGCTTCGAGTCGGATTGGTGCCAACCAACCAGGGCGCGTCTCGCCGCGCGCCAGGTTGACGCCTCTCTGATTCCAGGCTCTCTAGTTGACACACTGTGCAGCGCGGCGCGTATCGCAGCCGATTAAGGGATCGCACGGTTCCACCCCCACCCGGCCCCGCCGTGCACCGTGCGCTGTAAAACGGCTTCCGATGCCTCCCCAGGGCCCCCGGGGCTCAGGGCGAACAAGGCCTCGCGGCGGGCAAGGCCTCCACGGTGAGGCTGAGGCCACCGCCTGCCCTTGCCAAACGAGAGACCTATTTGGGCGTGACGTGATATGTGTACGGGTCGTGGCCGAGGGGCCGAGGCCGTGCGCAGTGTGTCCCGGCCCGTCCCGGTCGTTCCGGCGTGGAGCGCCATCTAGCGGCGTGCACGATTATGATGATTTCGGCGACGCTGCTGCGCGCTGCGCCCGGCGCCCCCCTCTCTCTCTCTCTCTCTCTCTCTCCTCTCTCTCTCTCTCTCTCTCTCTCTCTCTCTCTCTCTCTCTCTCCCTTTCGTTTTATTTTATTTTCTCGTCCTCGGCGTCCTTTCATTTTGTGCTCATAACGATACACATCTGGGGTCTGCGGTCGCGGCGGTCGCGGCGGTCGTCGGATGAAGGCGCCGGCCTCGGCCACGGCCACGACGCCACGAGGCGCTTTGGACCGCGCCATGCCGCGCCGGGCCGCGCGCACTACCGTGTCCTTTTCAAGCCCTCTGGACCTCGCAGCTCCGCCCCGCCATCAAGCTCTTATTTTACTACCTCTCTGTCGCACTTCGCGCCGCTCCGACGCCCCTTTCTCACCCCCTCCCCTCTTCTCTCTCTCTCTCTCTCTCTCTCTCTCTCTCTCTCTCTCTCTCTCTCTCTCCCCCACCCGTCGTTCTTGCTCTAAGCCAAATCGAACCTGCGGACCGTTGTGTATTCATTTCATACGTGTTCTCGGTTTCGAATTACAGATAGCACAACCGTGATTTTTCATTTCATTTTAATCTTCTCTCTTGTACACACATTGCTCTCCTCTCTCTCTCTCTCTCTCTCTCTCTCTCTCTCTCTCTCTCTCTCTTTCTCTCTCTCTGTTTCTCTCTTTCTTTCTGTATGGCGTCCCCGCTCAAAGGCGATCTCTTTGTGGGGCGGGCGACACGCACAACACGCCTCGCGAGGAGGCTGTACGGGAAAGAGGCTTGGCGTTGCTGGGCGTTGCTTGGCGTTGCTTGCGGCGTTGCTGGGTGTTGCTCAGCATGCAGCAACAAGTAGCGCCCTAATGAAGGACTCGCCCAGTTATTTGCAGTAACGGTGGCCGAGAGAGAGAGAGAGAGAGAGAAGGGTGTCCAAGTGTGTGTTCCTGGAAGTCATCGCCTAATGCGCGCTGGAGAGTAGGCGCCGGCCGGAGCAGGGCGCGGTGTGGTGCGGAGCGGCGGCGGTGGCGGTGGTGCCCGGTCGTTCGAACCTCAATCAGTGAGCGGTTGGAGGGGGTTGTTAGGCACAATAACGGGGTCCACACAACTACTGCCATTGTTAACAATGGGACCGTCGCAGCACACACACGCACGCACGGTCACACACACACACACACACACACACACACAAACACGAGAGTCGGCACGACACTTTGCAACAGTGAGCAAAGCGGTGGCCCCCTTGGCTCGGCACTCAGATTAAGTGGGCGAGGGTTATACAGTCACGGTTTGGCAAGTCAGGCCACGGCGCCGCCGCTGCCGCCGCTCTTGGTAAGCCTGCTTTCCATAATCAAAGGGAGGCGCTGTAAATTAGCGGTGGTGTGGTGGGGCCGACCGCAAGGCCGACCGGCCGCCGCGGTGACGAACTCGTCGGCCTGCAGACTGAGAGTCGTCGCTCTGTCTCTCTCGCACGCGCGGGGGGTCCCCTGAAGGTGCGAGAGAGACAGAGCGACGAGAGCGACTCTCGGAGTCAGTCTGCTTGGTGCAGGGGTGAGGCCTTGCCGAGGGCGGCCGGGGGCCTCGCGTCGTGAGTGGCCCGATCGCGGCGACGGCATGCATGCGGGACTGGCGGCTGCAACGCCGGCGCCTCGACAAACACGCTAAACTTTTGGCCTCGTCGGAAACGCTCCTCTTTTGTCGCGGCGTCATCGCGGAGTAGTGCGACAATGTTACGCAATGTTCTCAAAGGCGCGCGGCGGGCCCGGCCGGGGCGCGCCAAAGCTGTCTGTCTGCGCAGCGCGAGGCTCGGCGCCTGGAGGAATCGCAGCCCCGCGCCGCCGACAGAAACCCCGACCGACATAGCGGTTCAGAGTTTTGCGAAACAACGCTTACTGCACCGAGTATTGCTGTTGCTGGCTCTAAGTGTTGATGTTTCTCACGTCTTGTTACGAAAAAATCGGCGTGTGCCTGCGAGACTTGTTTTCTTTTGAACGATACCCTACAATCCTCCGAGATCGGATCTCCGAAAACGTTCCTTCCTGTTTTCCACTCTCGCGCCCACAACATTGTTTAAGAAAAACAGCGTGCCGAATTAACTTTACCCGGCTAGCCCTCTTTTAAACCCTCTTTAAACAATTCTTTTAATGAATTTTTTTGCCGTCGCTCTAGTTGCGAAATGGCGTAAAAAGGCTGCAGAGGAGGCGGCACCGAGACCATTAGCGACACCAGGCAAAGGTGGACAGATGCGCAAAGTCCCACACCGACACACGCACACACACACACACACGCACACACACACACACACACAGTCGAAATAATAATGAGAGCTGGCAAAAATGGAATGAACGGACAGCGCGGCGCTCTGTGTACATATATGCATATTATTGCGATCGGCAAGGTCCACCGTGCGGACAGCGAAAGGTGGATGAAGACCAGTGCGCAGTCCACGGAAAGCCCTCGGTCGCCATGGACCAATCGCCAGGCCGGCCTACACTGTTGGTGCCCAAAGAAAAGTAAACAAAAACAAAACCGAAAAAAGGGCTGAGCGCGTGTGGTTTAATTTATTTCGAAGTGAATAAAGTTTGGCCCTACCGATGTGGGTGAAATGGGCATATGCCACGGCGGCGGGGTCGGCGGAGCCGTGGGAGGCTGTGAGAGGGGGAGCTCAATTTGCGTACCAAAAATGCAAAGCGATGTCCGCGCCCCGACCAACAGCGACGAAGACGGCGCGGCAAAACTGCCTGTCTGCCGGCGGCCTGGCTGCCTGCCTGGCTGCCCGCCTGGCTGCCTGCCTGGCTGCCCGCCTGGCTGCCTGCCTGGCTGCCTGCCTGGCTGCCTGCCTGGCTGCCCGCCTGGCTGCCTGCCTGGCTGCCTACCTGGCTGCCTGCCTGGCTGCCTGCCTGGCTGCCCGCCTGGCTGCCTGCCTGGCTGCCTGCCTGGCTGCCTGCCTGGCTGCCTGCCTGGCTGCCTGCCTGGCTGCCTGCCTGGCTGCCTGCCTGGCTGCCTGCCTGGCTGCCTGCCTGGCTGCCTGCCTGGCTGCCTGCCTGGCTGCCTGCCTGGCTGCCCGCCTGGCTGCCGCCGGAAAATGGATGCGGCGACACGCCCCGCTGTGTTTTCCCTGGAATGAAATGTAGCGCTAATGTGTGTTTTTGTTTTTTCTGTTGCAGGTGCGAGCCAAAGAGGCGGCCAATTAGACTAACAGCCGCTCGCTGCCGGGCCGCCGCGCCGCTGCGCCGCCGCAGAGTGAGGATGCGGAGTCCCCAGTGCAAAGTCGCAAGCCACGCGAGGCCGCGCGCCGCCCAATCGCCGGCTTAAGCCCCCCGCCCGCCAGCCAGGCAGCCAGCCAGGCAGCCAGCCAGGCAGCCAGCCAGGCAGCCAGCCAGGCAGCCAGCCAGGCCAATCCCGACTCGCTCTTTCCTCGGCTCAATATCGAGACACGTAAACTGGAATCCAATCGAAGGGATTTTGGATACTGCAGATTGACTTCCTGATTGTGTGATTGATGGCGAGGGTTCGCGTCTCATCCGCCGCAGGCAGGCTCGCCTAGGGGAGACGCTCTGTTCATCACGGCGCCCTCTATCTCAGATCTTGCCAAGCTTTACATTGACGTGCCTCGTGCCTCTTCGGCGACACTAACTAGCGCAGCGAGCGCGGCTAGCGCCAAGTCGATATCTCGAAATACGGTACGTCAATGTCGCCGTCGGACGTTTATCAATGCCTGCCAGGAGCCTGGCACGACACAAGGCAGAGAGCAGACGGCGCCCGTCGAGGCCGCGGTAGGCAGTCCCGGTGGCCGAGGTGCCCGTCGAGGCCGCGGTAGGCAGTTGGCCGAGGCGCCCGTCGAGGCCGCGGTAGGCAGTTCCGGTGGCGCGGCCGCGCACCGGGCGGCCTATCCCGCAGCCAGCGGGCGCTTGCAAAGTGCTCGTGCCTCTTGTTCTTGTCCTTGTTCGTGTTGTTGTTTTTGCGGTGTGCTGTTTGCCGCCATGCGGCGTGTTGACGCTGGGCGGTATCCAGTGATCGGCGCGAAGTGGAGCGAGGGCTCGTTAGCCACAGGCAGCCACAGGCAGCCACAGGCAGCAGGCAGGCGGGGCCGCCGTTAGCGGCGACTCACCTCGGAAAAAATATTCCGGCGCACGCGCCGCGCGCCGCTCCTCGCCCGGCCGGGCCAGGACAAACATTCCGGTTAATTGCCGCAGTTGATCGGCAAAGGCCGTGCCGGGCCGGGCCGGGCCGTTCGCGGCGATGACGCGTGCTTCGAGCGGCTTCGGGCCTCGGCGACGCCCCGCCCCGCACCGCCCCGTGCCCCTGAAGGGCGTTATCGTCTTCTTTCCGTGCCACTGCCGCTCAAGTTCCGGATCGGAACGCCCCGCTCGCGTCTCGAGGCGTCGCGCGGACGGGGCGGGGCGGGGCTGACCTGCCGGGCCATCAGAAGCGAGTTTACCCCATAATATTTAAAGGGACTCCCCTTCGCGCGCGCTCCCTGCCCTGCCTTGCCTTGCCCTGCCTTGCCCTGCCTTGCCCTGCCTTGCCCTGCCTTGCCCTGCCTTGCCCTGCCTTGCCCTGCCTTGCCCTGCCTTGCCCTGCCT